CCCGTAAATAGGCCTAGTGATGCCACTGAAACCATCAAATTATATCAACAAAAAGATAAATTATAAGGAAAGAATATTTAAATGTTTGTAACGACCTTTTCTTTTTCTGGTTTGAAGTTTGCGTTGAATTAAAATCAAAGTTTTTTTGCTTAAAGTTGGATGTTGTAATCCTAAGACTGAGCCATCTACACCAGGTAAGATATTCTTTATTAATAACCTTTATACATGACAAAACAAATCAGTTAAAAATCTGAAATGTTCCTTTAAGAGAGTGTACAGTTCTGGTTCTGATCCTGATCTTGCAGGCCCACCATCCTGCAGGTTTTAGATGTTTCTGGTCTGAATGTGTGAATACAGGTTTCTGCAGAACCTGAAGACCCTCCGAGGAGCAGAGAAAACCTGCAGGTTGGTGGCCCTGCAGGATCAGGGCTGAGTACTTCAGCACCAAGACTGAGCTCTGGACCTCTCTGTCTCCTCTAGACCCTGTAAGACCCAAAAACTCCAGCTAAAGTTCTGGAAACAAACTGATTAAAAATAAATAAATAAAAAACATCTGTTTTGTTGATGAAACAGGATGAGGATCAGGTTTTACACAGGTTCTGGTTTGACCCACCGCTGGCGACCGCTCAGAGACCCGAACCCGGTGAAGGAGCGGCTCCGGTGGACCGGACCTCCATCTGACGGGGAGTCGAACCTCAGCTTCACCGACATCCTGTGAACCACAGAGGACAGATCAACTAAAACACCTGCAGGGACTGAAAACCTTTCAAAATAAAAGCTCAGGAGGTTTTTATCCCACAACCTTTTCAGAACCAAATGTTGGTCACAGCTCGGGAGTTTCATCAGACAGAACCCGGTTCTGTTCCGTCTTGTTTAAAGGATTCAAACTGATGTTTAGTTTGTTTTGAAATCGCTGCGGTTCTGCCAACATTTGTTCTGAAGCGATCCAGAACCAGAAAACAAAAGCTGCATTCAAACAGAAACATCTGGAAACAAACCAAACATCTGTATACAGATGGAGAAATATCACTTTAAAACATCTGGTCACAGATTTTAAGTTTTAATTCATTTAATTCCTGAAAAAACTGATTTGATTTAAAGACACACCTGTTCTGTTTGTTGGTCTGAAACCCGTTAAACTCGTCATGAAACAGAACTTTTACTTTTTTAACTTTAAGAACCAAAAAAAAAAAAGTTTCCTTGAAAGATTTTTGATTTTTTTTTTCCTGCGACCTTAAGAGCTGTGGTGGATCTCATGTCACAAAACAATAAAACAGTAAATTAGAAACAGAAGTTATTAAATATTATTAGAACAGTTAACAGATTAACCTCAAACATCTGGAAATAAAAACTGGATTTCTTTAAATAAACACAAACAGCTGAGAAATGTTTCATGTTTAAACAGAAACTGAACATAAAACTGCAAAAAGAAGAAAATAAAACTCATGTTGAAGACATTGGTTAAATAAATCATCAGTCATGATTTTCTAATGTTTGCTTTCTTTTAGATAAAGATCTTCCTGTTAAATAAAATAAAAACAAATAATTTTTAGGGAAAAATAAAAGACTGAAACATTTGGCTTCAAACTGATCATCTCTGATTTTACTGTAAGTTCTGCAAAAATTCTTCTGTTTTTGGTTCAAACATTTGCTTCATCTTTGTACGGAGACAAATTAGGGCCATAAATAAATAAAGGTCAAATAAAAAATAAATAAAGTTCGATAAAAACAAACAAACAAACAAAACAATAAACAAATTTGAAACTGAAAAATGATAATTTAAAGAGAAAATTTAATTATAAAACTGTAAGGATTAGATCTTTTTATTTTTTCAGTTTCTAAATTCTGGTGTGTTTTTTTGGTGAGGGGGCGGGGCCTGAGATGACAGGGGGTGTGGAATCATGACTGACAGCTCAACACAGCAGCAGGACAAAGTTTTCTGTATCGTTCAGGACCTGTGGCAGCTGGAAAAGTCTTTAAAACATCAACAATATTTTGTTTATAATTGTTTTCCTTGTAGTTTTGTGTCTTGTTGACATGTGCAGCTTATATGAGTAAAACATGTTATTAAAATAAATAAATAACAAATATAATCTGACGTAATTTTGAACTTCTTTTGTGTTTCAAATCTTTTTTCAGTTAAAAAAATAATTAAACTTTATGTCACTAATTTAGCTCCATACTTTAAACAAACAGCTGAAGTGTGCAGAACAGATCTGACAGGAAATATAAAATAATGATAAAATTATCACTGAAATCACCAGAAAAATGTAACTTGGATCAACTGCAGAAACACCATGAGTGTCGTATGTGAACATTGTGTAACTGTTTGTGTGTGAGTGTGTGTGTTTGTCGTGACGCCTGAGCTCCAACAGGAGAATTCAGGTTCTCCTCCCCTCCCCTCCCCCCTCTCCCCTCTCCTCTCCTCC